TTTAATTTCAAAAGTTAAAACTGATAAAAGAATATGCAGTCAGCCTACTCCTTTGTCTCTTTCTGTCCAAATTTAATTAGATGCATCAGTAAAAACTGTCGCTTTGCTTTAGTAAAAATTGAGCGGTTTTTGGAGATGGACAGATTTGGAGGGATTTTGTAAAACATTACGTTGCATTACAGGCCCCAGAGGGGCGTCTTAAACTAAGTTTAAACTCCGTTAACAAGAGATTCCCTACAATACATCTTGGATAGAAATAAAACCATAAACTTCGAACAAATAATATATTTAAGAATACAGAAATGCACGGAAATAAGTAGATTCGATTTCTATTTAGATCTTGTTCGATTGCGTTAAACAATTCATAAGAAATAATGCTATACCTACAATTCGTTACACACATTAAACAGCTCACTAGCTTTGGGTAAAATTCCGAGTCGAGACTGACGGTGATTTAGAAACAAGATTTAACACGAAATCTCGTTTCTAAATCTTACTCTTAGCGCCTAGTATGACATTGTACAGTTCCTGGGTCATCAGGGTGCTTTAAATAATAGAGGATTTTATTTTTACACTACGTATATTATCGTAAAACGAAAATTAATCAATAAAGATTTTTATAAATTTGAGGAATACTCAAACGATCCTAATCCTTGGGATTGATTTGCTCCAGTTCAAACAATTTTATGACTGAATACTTGGCGATTAAAAAGAGTGGCGGAAAGTTTCTTGCCGGTTCTTCTTACCGGCTCTACGCCCTTGACTTGCGAACTGGTAGTAAATGTAAATTTACAATTAATGTAACTTCTTTCTGACGATTCATAGGTGTACTTGTTTACCTATATGAATAAAGATATTTTGAGTTTGAGTATCCACTCGCGTACAACAATAGATTATAACCGAAATAATTAAATGTTAATTGCTATGTATCGAATGATCAATGTAACAGTTGAAGAGAGTGCCTACGTCTGGCTATACTCTCGGGGCGTGTCTCCGACGATTTAGGTACTCGCCACGCTTATAAAACTAAGAAAGCCTGAGTGAGCAAAATGTACAGCCTTGGCTTGACTTAGTAACCCTCAGTTCTATAAAAGCGTTTAAAGATTTGTAAAAGTTATTTAATTAAAATTGGTTTGCGAGGAATTTATCAATAATACATTTTATTGTATATCTGTAGAACATCGATTTAGCAGGTCTTGGAACTTAAAAAAGATAAAAAAAATCTTGCGCTTTAATGGGTAAAACTCATTGCATTTAGCAGTGCTTAGGAGTTATATGAATTCTAAATTTACATTTACTACGAGTTCGCAAGTCAAGGGCGTACAGCCGGCAGGAACTCTCTTCCACTCTTTATTATTACAATCTAATATACATATCACAAGGGTTGAATCCAGCTTGAAGTGTAGAACAGCAAAAATAAAATTGGGTTGTATATTTGAGATTAAAAGAGATGCTTAAATTACTTCTTTAGTTTTAGCTTGTCAGCTAGGGAACATGACAAACCTGTACCATCAGGCTCCACATTTAGCTCTTCTACTGTGCAGTTATTGATGACCATGGAGAACCTTTTGGAACGAAAACCACCAAGAGGTTTAGAGGGAGGTTTGTACCAAGATCAACAGCTTGATGAAGGTTTTGTGACGGAGAATGTTTGTGTTTATTATTCATAGACGAACATTTGTAGATGTAGCATTATTTATACAAAAACAAAATTATACATTAGATTTACGATAATTGACTTTTAACTGCCAACAAAAAAATAATACTATTCTAAATCTCACATATCACAACTGGGTTATAAAATAAGCTGTTACAGATTAATTGTTAGGGAAATATACAGAAAGGAGACAGCGAATTCAGAAACGAAAAAGCGCGGACCGCGTTTGATAAACAGGAGTCTCACTAGCACTCGTTTCTAAATCCGACACTTAGCGTTAAATCTGACACTTATCGAATTTTAATCTGACACTTAGCGTTAAATATGACACTTACTTAAATATGACATTAGCGTTAAATCTGACATAGCGTTAAATATGAACTTAGCGTTAAATATGACACTAGCGTTAATTCTGAACTAGCGTTAAATATGACACTAGCGTTAAATCTGACACTTAGCGTTAATATGACATTAGTTAAATCTGAACTTAGGTTAATATGACACTTAGCGTTAAATCTGACACTTAGCGTTAAATATGACACTTAGCGTTAAATATGACACTTAGCGTTAAATCTGACACTTAGCGTTAAATACGACACTTAGCGTTAAATCTGACACTTAGCGTTAAATATGACACTTAGCGTTAAATCTGACACTTAGCGTTAAATATGACACTTAGCGTTAAATCTGACACTTAGCGTTAAATCTGACACTTAGCGTTAAATATGACATTATGTCAAATCTGACAAACAGGAGTAAGATTTAGCGCTGTCTCGACCTGATACCCTTAGTTTTCTTACAAACTAGTAAAGCTATTTACAAATAAGTACGCGTTTAAAAATCCTTAAATTTTTTATAGTTCACAGGTAAAAATAACATTTTATTTTAACGAATATATGACTGTTAAATAAGTTATTTGGTTAGATCCGGCAGGGCTACTCTGTGAAACAGATATCAAATTCCAAAGACTGACAATAAGAAGATTCCAATAAATAAGTTTAACGAAAATCGATTATTGTTCTTTTAACATCAGTTTCATTGCGGCATAGTTGGAATCATGTGGAATTTATTATTTTTGGAATTGTTATTGAAGTTTTACAGTGACGTAACCCTACGGTAAAAATGTCAATTCTCTGAAAAAACACAGATAATCATTAAAATATTACACAATTTTTGGGCAAAATAGTAGCAAAAATAGTTTATATCAATAAAATGTTAGGCCAAATTAATTACAGATCCAATTAAAAGCTAAAAATAACTTAAGCTGCTATTTGATTTGGTTTAAATTTCATTATTATATTTTATATTAATTAACGATACATAAATAAAATGTTATTGTCCAAAATCTCGAAATAAATCATAGAAAAATAAAACAAGCTAATAAAAATTATATAGATTATATTTCCTTACATAAAGATTCTATACCAGCTAAGTAGGACTCCCGTTTATCGACGCATTGGATTACGAGAGTCCTAATTAAGCGTCGACCCTCTTACCCTAAAACACCTAAGTTACAACAACTATATGTGTAATCTTCGATATTTATTTCATCGATTTGAAGTAAGTACATTTATGTTTAAGGACGGCGAAAACGTCAAATTGATTTTAAACGAAACGCGAGATTCGAATAATACTTACGTAGACTGATCTACCATAGTAACATTTTGTTTGTCCACTAATTTAAATATTGAGATTCCTTAATATCAATGGTAACTATGATTTTCTCACTAATAAACAGAACTTTTAAGACCTGAAGAGTAGCTTATATACTGGAGATGGCAATTTAACAAATTACCGAACACACCACATCGCAAACCTATTTCGCGGCATTTTCATCTTCAACCACTTTCTTGAAAACAAAATTTTTACTATCGATTCAAAACTTTATACATTCACTAAGAATCTTGTGAAGTACCTAAAACTATTAATCCAATCCAATAAAAAAGACAAGCTGCCCACTACACACAGTGTGGGCGCTAGTACACATTCTTTTCCTTATAAAGTGTAATAAAGTTATTTTTCTTTCTTATTTTTAAAGTCAGGTACCAATGTCGAATCTAAAAATACAGATGCTTCAATCTTTATAACAGAAGTACTAAATTAAATGAACGCTTAGGAAAACTCAAATTAAACGGAAGTAATTAGTTGTCTAATGTTAATTAAAAACCATAAATTTGCAATTTAAAAAAAAAAAAACAGTGGGGCTAAAACTTTATAGGTCTGAGCTATAGATTTCTGTATGTGTTTCGTGATTTGTATATCTAATAAGCAAGTAGATTATCATCTTCTGCGCTTGACACACGCTTGACCTTTGTTTTGAAAGCATGCCGATTTCCTCATACTTTCCTTGTGTGAGTGTTAAAAGCACACATAGGTAGAAATTTCATTGTCCAGGCGGGGTCCGAGCCTACCTCAGCGGTGGTAGATTTAGTAATATTACCATCACCAGTATTAAGAGTACTTCCAGATAAAAACTCCTGTATCTTGAACCCAACTTAAACCAAAAATATCGAAGATACACAGTGTAGGCCTTTTAAAACATTTAAGTATAAAATGGGCGTTATATGATTTCTATTCTATTGATAATGAGAAGTCCATCGTTTTCACATTTCATTCGAATATACGCCACAGGATACAATTCGTCTTTTCCAGCAATATGTAGTTAAGAATTCTATCTAAGCATTTACAATGCAAAAACAATTTGGACATTTTTCAAAAACAAATGAGAATCACAAACAATTTCATTTAATCTGGTAGCTGTCTGGACTACATTTTACATTTCAAAAATAGTACCTTACACTTAAATTGGCGCACTAATGCCCAGTTTGAGACTGATCGAGCTTTCATAAATGCTAGGCTACGCAAATCCAAAGGGGTCCTAGGCACTGTTTACAACGTTATCTGCCAATTTACGTATCCAACACCTCTATAAACTGTTTACTGCCACCAATACTACGAACAGTTCGTTGAATAAATGTGTTTACACAATGAACATGAACTTCTAAATAACATATTTACAATATCAATTTGTCATATACGTTATGTCTTTAAACAGTGTCCTTAGCAATAAGTAAATCGCTACGATATTTGTATTATTTTCTAACAGAATTTTTGCTGAAGTATCACGTAAACACATTTAATCGACTGTGTACATCTTTATCATTGACATGTAAAAATGCGAGACAAAACATTCAACAACTGAGGTAAATTGTAGCGTGGAGAACTAAAAATGTTTGGTTTCACTTGCTGTATAGACTTTCGTATGTGTTCCCGCGTGTTTAGGAAATATCATTGACAGGCGTTACCGTGAATCGCCAAACAGTAGTTTGGCGAAGTATGTTCGTCAGCTGCGTTCGTCTACATTGGCTAAAACGTGTGTATATAGATGATGTTGTACTACCTGCACTACATCATATTCTAAAGTCGATAAGCCATCTTTTTGGAATGTTTTGCTTGTCTGCGATAACAGTTGGTACCTGTAAAACAATATTGGTCTCAGGAATAGTTTAAGTGAAAGGAATGGTTTAAGTGAAAAATCAAAGTCAAAAATCATTTATTCATATAGGTAACACAATGTACCTACACTTATGAACGTCACAAAAAAAATATCCATAAATGCTTCTAATTTTACATTTACTGCCAGTTCTCTAATCAAGGACGTAGAACGAAAGAGAAGAACTGGAAATAAACTCTCCGCCACTCTTTTTAAAAGTATCCTTGTCGCTATATCCTATGTTGTGTGCTTTAATAAATAAACATCAAAAATATCCTTGTACACGGAAATATAGCGGACCCGATAGACGTTGTCCTGCATGATATTTCAAGTGATTAGGACTTTACACAAAGCATGAAAGTTCAGCGCCATCTGCTGATTCGTAAATCTAAACCATTCAGGGCGCCACCCAAACGCATACAAAAAAAAATCATTCAAATCGGTCCAGCCGTTTAAGAGGAGTTCAGTAAGATACACACGTACAGTAGAATTATATACAAAGATATACTTATAACTAATACTTTAAATAAATAATAAAATTCTTCGTAAACTGTATTCCCTTAGTAGAATTTCCTTTCCACGAATTGAGAATTCATATATTCATCAACAAAATTATAATATATATAAAATGCGGCAGTTTAAGTACTTCCTTCAAGTATCCCTCACTGTGTGTGTGTGCTGTGTGGTTTTAAACCAATCGATCAGATTATTAAAAATAATCGTTCTACAACACAATTATCTTAGAATTTCTCTCATAAGTATAGAACTTCTACAAAAATTTTCATTTGCCTTATGAATTCGTAGTCATGTCAAAATGGCCGACTATATTTGTAGCCGTCAGTAGCAGATTTAAATATTTAAACTTCGAATGTGTTAAATACAGTAAACAGTGCAGTAGTGTTAATTAAGATTAAAAAATAAAGTACTTTTTTACCTCTTAGGATTCGGTGCAGACTTCTTATGATCCAGCATCGCATAACGAGCTATTGACATCTTGTACCTCGCTATGTGGTAGTTCATCTTCTTAATTCTGAGAATAGTAAAATTGTTTATTTGAGGGAAAAAAAGTCCGAAATAGCGAGTGAATTTTTTGTCTATATCGCTCTTGTGGCTTAAGAAAGCAATAAAAACAGACAGTACATTAAGCATTTTTTCTAGTAAATTACTTTTAATCACAGATAAGGGATATCTTTATAAACCACCCCACCAGTCTTTGGGGCCGTTCAAGTATTACATAAGCACTATAGGGGAGGTCTTTGATTTTCTTATTTGGTGATTCTGTCAACAGTAGTTATTTACTTTTTTACACATATTACCCACACATTGTCAATGCTTGAAAACGAATGCATTTTCGAGGATTCCTACGAAAATTAATACGTTTATGTACTATTATTTTTGAGAGCTTTGCTTACGTTTGCTGAAAAAGGAAGGGGAGGGGGGATAAATTTCAGTAAATCTGCTTATATAATACTTGAACGGCCCCTTTATCAAATGAAAAAATTTAACGAAATTAACCTAAGAAAATCTTTCAAAGTTTTAATTAGAAGCGTCATAATGACTGAAGAAATTTCTTAATATCCCAACTCACAAAGTCACCTTAAAAGATAGAACGTGGGCAACCACAAAGAAATAGTTAATTCAAAATGTTGTTCACTGTAAAATAGACCTTAATACAAATCAATAAGGTCGTTAGTTTATCTTTCTGATATTAATTCTAGACTTGTTACAAACTTAGAAATATTTTTAAAGTCAAAAAAATCGATGTCATTCTATTTTTAAACCGAACCACACCTACACACATAAGTTTAAACATTGTATTAAATACTCATATTTCTATTCATCACAACGTATATAATACAATTTAATAAAAAGGGACGTAGCAATACTTTAGTTAGTACAATAGACAGATTTAGTTTTTTTTAGTGACGGGGTTAATTATAAACAAATATTTAAAAAAAACTCTGTAGCGCAACCTTTTTAGATCAGTCACCCATTTGTCAATCTAATAGGCAAGTAGGTGATCAGCCTTCCGTGCCTGACACACACCGTCGACTTTTTGGGTCTAAGACATGTCGGTTTTCTCACGATGTTTTCCTTCACCGTTCGAGCAAATGTTAAATGCGCACATAGAAAGAAAGTCTATTGGTGACCACGATCTCAGGTATGACAGTCGCACGCTGAAACCACTAGGCCAACACCGCTCTACAAAGCGTAAAATACAATTTAATGAAAAGCGATGTAAGAGTACTTTAGTTAGTACAATAGACAGATTTAGTTTTTTTTAATGAGGGGGTTGCTCATAAACAAATATTTAAAAAATATTACTACTAAAGCGAAGTTTATCACACAATTTCCTCGAACTCTTAAAACTAAATTTATAATGTTCTTAAACGTGTTTTAGTATATTTACCTGTAGAACATGTCGTCATCTTCGCCACCCCACCCCCAGTATTTATTTGAGAAGCCGTTAACCTTGGTAAACTGTTCCAAGGTCATTGCTGACACACCGCCGAAGATATCTTCATATGGCAACCTAGACACATTAGTTTTTAGGTTGAGTGTGTGCGAGAAGACAACTAGTGTGACATTTACACACATATACAAAAATTATATACTTTTTGCTTTAACATAAAAATTAATAAATGTAAGAGGTTCTAAATTCAAAATTATTTTTATCATGTAGTACAAATACCACATTGTCTACTAACAACCCTGGCAGCAGTAAAAGCAGATGACAAATATACTGTTATTATTGTACATAGATTGTAAAAGCCGGGGAAAATAGTACACAAATTAAACTAAAAACTGTTCAAAGATATTTGAATCCATTGTTACTAAATAATTCATTTGCGTTTACGGAAAATAGTAATAATTTATAATAATTCGTTTTTAATTTGGTATTTATTTAAGTTAGGAGTAGATACATTAGGCGCTGATAATAATAATATAAATCGAAAACGTCAGACGAAACGGACAGCGTTTGTGTCTACGCATGTTGGACCAGAGATACTGATACTAAAAAAATAAGTCACGCTGCAACTTTTTAGGTTTAGGCCTCAGATTTCTGTATCTGTTTCATGATCATTGTTCTTCTGTGCCTGACACACGCTGTCTTTTTGTCTTTTTGGGTTTAATGCAAGCCGGTTTCCTTACAATGTTTTCCTTGACTGTTCGGGACACAGCCGGGGATCGCCACACTCACAAACTGCTATGCATGCTGTATGTATGTTACTAAAGGTACTTAAATATGCGCTTGAAGTTTTAATAATATACAAAACTTATTTATATACATTAGCGTCTATATTCCAGCCTTAAGATCAGAACTATAGGTGAAGTAATAGTCATACTTACTTAAAGTGTAGTTTATCTATAGAAGCGGACATGTGTCTAGGTTGCTTTGGACATGAGTATAGATTTCTTGAGTCTAGAGGCAACAAATCGATATCGTGAAAGATGAAACATTGCCAGCCTCCAGCTTTCTGTTTTTGACTCTCGGCGAAGCCAACATTCATCAGTTTTGCACGGTTGAAGTCACTTGAACCTGTAGAATTATCAATTTCTTTAATATTGAGGAACATTTTTTTTGTTCTATCATCAATAGTTTTCGCAGCGCAGGCGATAAAAGATAATTTATAGGATTTTTTTTACACCTTGGGTTATTATTGTAGCCGATATTAATCGGTGATAATCGTTCCAGTACTTTTTGAGCCAATTCATTGCAAACATACTTGTATACAAATCTTTCCTCTTTATAATATTGTATAGATCAACACAATTATAGCAAAAATCTACATGGATTCTGCGTGCAAGTTGTTTTTTATTTAAGGCCAAAAGTCTCAAGTTTTCTATAGAAATTTTACAATAGGAAATAGTCGGTTATGAAGTCTACAAAAGATGTCAATATTTACGGTTCAAGCTATCGAGATTCCAGTCGTATTTTCAGTTATGCACAAGATTTCCGCATAACCTTTTAATGTTATTTGTTAAATAAATTGGATTCCATTCATAGTTTTATTTTGTCTAACTATATGTCTTATGTTGTTTTGCACTTCTTGCGCTCACATTATCTAATTTATTAAGGTCCTCCTTTTTGAAGTTATACTTCATTAGGCGCGTTATAAAAAATTGATGAGAGTGAAATTTTACGATACCCGCGCACCGTGACACAAAATTAACAGAATGAAGTTGCCCACTAACGAATTCTTTTTAAACCAGCCGGCGCCGAGCGAGCGCGAGAGAGATGGGAATAAGACAATCTACAAGTAAAAAGAAATAGAATATGCGTGAAGTTAGCAGCTATGCCAAGAATTTTGAATGGCCCTAGTACCTTTTAAACAAATAAAGGAGTTTTGATTATTTTTTCAAAGAAATTTAGCAATGCTTTTTCACAAAGACCTATTGTTACTTAGTTAAAAGGTTATGAAACATACCTAGTTATTTAATTGTTATTATTAATATTAATTAGATAATAATTGAATAATATACTAAATATTAAATATTATTAAATTATTAACCATAAATATTTATTATTAATTATTTAATATTTAAAAAAAATAAAGAAAGCCAAAGAAGTGTAACTTCTTACGCACGTACATAAGTACACGCACCCTTTTTTTATTTAATAATTTTAATTGTACTATATTTCTGTATACTTGCAACGAAGTGTTAATTAATAAATATAATAAATTACTTCTATTTATTGTTGTTTTCATACGCTTTTATTTTGTTATTTTTGGGTTGTGTGTTAAGTCAGTGCAAAGAGATTAATTATAGATATATAAATGTTATTGTTTTTTTTTTTTAAAGTTGTAACACCAATAAAGCTATTAAGCCATATATACAATATAATTAGTTACTTACCTTCTTGTTCGACGATGAAAATTCCATACTCGATTTGTTGTTTCATTAAAAAAGGATGCATGTGGTTCAGGAAAATCGCCAAATGTTGTTGGCGATCCCTACAACAAAGAAACAAAAAATATATAGAGAAGGCCCGGGCAATATAAACCGATGATTGGTTGTATGAATAGCTCCATTAAAGAAAACAAATTTACGTTTTATGGGGCCTGCGTACTGCAACTGAATTAATTTTCAGCTGCTATACGTACATTACTGCCGTGCGTACAGTATAGTTTACTAAGTATTAACATTCGCTAGAGAAAAATAATATATAGCGGAAATAAAATAATAGTAAGATTATGCCCACTTGGATAGTATATGCAGTTGCATACAGTCATCGTACACGCTACGCACGTATTTTCTACCCATACCTAAGATATTAACATTCTTATAATGATGATGTAGGGAAAATACTCCTTACTTGTTTAAAATTACAAAAGTATTTATTTCATCACAATGCTTTGTTAAAGACATTAATCTTTTAGGATCGTCCAAAGTGACTATTCTAACCAGAACACATAATCTAATATATAAAATTCTCGTGTCACATTATATATATATATATATATACTAGTGGACCCCACAGACGTTGTCCTGCATGATATTTAAAGCGATTAGGATATTAAGCAAAGTATGAAAGTACCGACTGCAGTGCCATCTGCCGGGCTGATTTGTGAATCTAAACCATTCTCGAATCTCCACGAACACACACAAAAAATTTCATCAAAATTGGTCCAGTCGTTTAGGAGGAGTTCAGTCACATACACACGCACACAAGAAATATATATATTAAGATATATATAATGTGACACGAGAATTTTATATATTAGATATACTCTATACTACTACTATACTACTTATATACTCCTCCGGAACGGCTCAACCGATTCTTAAAATTTTTTAGGCATATTCAGTAAGTCTGAGAATCGGACAACATCTATTTTTCATCACCCTTCATGTTAGAGGTGGGACTAAATTAATTTTTTTTTATTTTAGACAAAACTTTTTGTTTTTATTTTTTATGATAAAGCATAAAAAATACATACAACCCTTAATTTTCACCCCTCTACGATGAACCCCTATTTTTTATTTTGTAGATAGTCATTTTTATTGAACTAAAAAAATGTTTCCTAGAAATAATATACATGGAAAAAAGAAGTTTGCCGGGTCAGCTAGTTTCCATATAAAAATCAATTGAGCCTTTGCATAACGAAAGCATATACCAACCCAATCTACAGATTACGCGATGAAACGTAATAGGTCTTTTGGAGGCTGCTGATAAGAGCTGCACTGTTGCTGTCGTGCTAATTTACAGCACAATCAGCTACTGATATAATACACCTATAGTCCTATACATTTATTAGCGTAACTTGCTTATCAGGCGAGACAATCCTTTAAGATTTATGGTGATTGGTGACGTATATCTCATCCACGCGACAATGGCGTGAAGTAAAAGACCCAGCGAGGAATGTAATCTGTGTTATATTATTAAAGGCTTTAGAGTAACACGTTAGACTTTATTATTGTATGATTAAGGATTTAAGGGTCTGTAATGTCTGTTGAATAGGCGTGGCGGTGGTTCTCTAAATACAATGCCAAATTCAGAAGACACCAACCTGGGAGTTCAGGCGCCTCTCACTGGTATTCTTTGTGAATACAATAAAATGAACGCTACATATTCAGAGCTTGATATGTTCGCTCTGGCCTGATTAATTTTCAAAAAGTGAGTATTTTTTTATATAGAAAAGGGGGCAAACAGAAAGCTCCTCTGATGTTAAAAATACCGCCATACATACTCACACTGCCAGAAGGCTGCAGAGTGCGTAGCCGGCCTTTGAATGCTTTGTTAAGCACTTATAACAAATTAATCCGTTTCATAGAAGTAATTATTGAGGTAAATCTAAAATTATTATGTTTTTGCAAATTCAAGTTTACGGTAATCTTAATATAAAATATATAAAGTACGAACGTTTCAAATAAGCTACAATTAAATGGCACTGCCACCAAAAAAGCATGGTGGTCCCCATGACTGGTGTTCTCCTATCGTTTTCCTTGAATAGGTTACTACTATGTAATAGAACCTGAATGAATAGACCTTGGCCGGTCTGCTAGTTGTTATATATTTTTGAACAATAGAATGAAACTTACACTGTAGAAGATTATATGATACATCATCATTAAAGTATACTAACTGTATACTTTGATAAATAAATAAAAGCTCAAATTTAAGTACTCGGGAACCAAGATCTTAAGTAAGCCTGGTAAACAGAGCTGGTACTTTTCACGCAACAAAATTTTGCATTAAAAGTATTCTGCCAATAGCAAAAATATATTGAATCGATTTAATTATTGTAATATTAAACTAATTACCATTACGCTGCAAATAAAACTAACAATGTTTTTAACTAATTAAATATTTGATAATAATTGATGAGAATCCTGTCCATTGAAAAACAATTATGACACGGAGTTTCGAATTTAAACCATACTATAGCCTGCGAAAGAACCATCCAAAGAACATCCAAAGAATATTTTAATTAATCTACAAAGACATCATATGAGAAATTCTTATTTTCTTAGGATAAAATTCATTTCAACAAATATCCAATTTCCTTTTGGAGCAACAGAAATTGTATTAAAGAATCTTATCCAATTTGATATCTTATTATCTGTGAAACGTGATCGTATTGAGCCCGTTACCTATATACAGTTATCTGTATAATTCATTTATTTAAAAAATGTAGTGTTAAATCTCTTGGCCATGGCCTATCTGTTTTGTGATCATTTTTTTCAATAAGCAAGTAGGTGTTCTCAAATATGGCGAGGGGACAGATGGCTGGCCAAGCGTCATACTCGTGAACGGGTGCTTGGTGGTGACTGGTCGGAGTTGAATTCGTGTATGATGGTGATGGTGATGTTAGTTATTTCGAAATAGATAATTTGTTGTTCCCACGAGAACGTAAGTGCGTGCTCCTATTTCACTATGCCTCTTGCTGATAGAGGACTAATCTTTGACAACTTCATCCCACCAACGCAGCCTCGGTCTACCGGGTTTTCTCTTGCCACCGGGTTGTGAGTTTAGTAAGGACCTTGGAGTTCTGTCGTTCGACATTCGGTGCACATGTCCCAGCTACTTGAGCCTGTTGCACTTTATGAATTGGACGATCTTGGCGTCGTTTAGGATGTTATAAAGTTCTTCATTGTAGCGAATACGCCAAACACCGTCGTCGCAAACAGGACCAAAGATTCTTCGAAGAATCTTCCGCTCGAAAATAAGGAGAGAGATTTCGTCTTCCTTGCTAAGGGAACGTTCAAGTATTACGTCACGCAATTTTTAAAGATTATTGACCCCCCCATGTAACGCTCCGTAACGTTTTACTGTACCCAAGAACAGTACTGTAGTAGTAAAACGTTTCGTGACCACCTAGTGACTCTTTATACCTAAAAGTTACCATTATGTGGTGTGAAGTACTGGAAAGTCGAAAATAATATTAACAATAACGCGTAATTCAATCCCCGCCCCGCATCGTAACGTAACACAAAGACCAAAAATTCGTTACGTAATACTTGAACGCTCCCTAATGGGCCAGGTTTCAGAACCATAAGTCTGGTCGTCACTAATTATTAGTAGAAAAAGTATATTAATAAAATCTCAATTGTCACTCACCTGTATGGCACAATGATGGCCACCTTATGCCTGGCCGTGCAATTGGGTGGGGAATAGCGTCCCCCTCTATGAACTTGAGGATATTTCTTCTCCACCCAATCCAGCTCAATCTCCGTTTTGTTCACGGAAACAGGTCCTAAGACAAATATATTGTTTATTACATAGATTATAAACCAATTCTATATTTATACACACATATACAGTATTTTCATTTTCTAAAAAAATATTCTAATAATGAAATCTACAGTAGGAAAAAAAACAATTTCGAATATTATATCACATATAGAAAGCAAAGCACAGAAGAAATGTGAAACAATTTTTTTCGGCCTAATTCCAGATCTCCAGTTTATTCGACATATATGATAATCATTAAAATAGAACTATAACTGAATGGTTCATGTTAATATATTGGATAGCGGCTTCGCACGGTTGAACGTCTATTTATTTATAAGTAATCTTAAAGGAAAGGAAAAGGAAACACTTAGTTAATATACAAAGCCAAAACATATTACATTGTTAAACAAAATATACGAAACAGAAAACATAAGTCACTAAAAATAAATAGATAATAGATAAACGGCTCAAACATAATATACTCTTGGGCCGTGGGGTTCAAGTGCTCAGGCGCCAATTTAAGATTTAAGTTGGCGCCAGATAGATAGTACCAGTGACCCCAGAGCTGGTGATTTCCTCCCTCAACGAATAAGTATCGCAATACAGTGAGGAAATGCGACCAGCTATAAAGGTACACTGCCACAGGGACTACAAGACAGGGTTAATTATTTTTATTTATTACTGTATATTTGAGTGGACACCCCTTATCACTTAGGGGTTTAAAGGATAGTAGGCGATTCTCAGACTTACTGGATATAAAATTTCATAAGAATCGGTCTAGTCGTTTCGAAGGAGTATGGGAACGAACATTCTGACACGAGAATTTTATTTTACAAAGAAATAAAATGTCTCACCTAAGTCCGGCGGCATTGCATCACAGAGAGGCATCGACGGTTCACTGAACTTCACACCGTCTTCGGTTGTCACAAAATTTTTTATTCCCTCCATTATTTTAGTGAGTAAAATTGGTGTGCTCAGCTCAGTCTCATTTCGTCGAGTCATATTCAGGGTATTGTTCTGGCTTAAAGTATTATTTATAGGAGTATTGTGAGTTGAGTTTTGTAGAGGTAGTTTGGGCCAAGGCTGTTTTTCGCTGGCTCTGAAACAATACGGTTGAAATATTGGCCTGGAATGTTTATATACTAAAATCTTATTTTTAAATCTTGATGTAAACGTGTAATATTTACATAATGTCTTGGTCAGAAAGAAATTAAAGCAATACATTTGTTTTTGATCTTTTAAAGAATTTTCTTGGAATGCACCGAAATTATTTTGAATCTCTATTACGAGTGAGTAGGGCACGCTTAATTGCCTGTCACATCTGAAATATCAGCTTATATTGTTTTAAAAATAATACAAAAACAAACATATTATGTACGCCTACGTGTCTCACGTGTTTTATAGCGTACCAAGCGAACGCTTCATTCTTATACATTCTGTTTTTGGTATGATATTAATTAATTTATATTTCATAACAGCTGCGCTATGAAAGAATGAAGAAAAATAACAGATAACAACGCGAATTTGTAAAATTATTAATTGTTTCGAGAGAGTTACTATACTTGTAATCAGAATGCGTTGGTTGAACTTTGAAACTTTGTTTGTACCACGAAAGAGTCTACGCAGCACCCATAGCACAGGAATGTGAAGATGTCCTAGTTAGAGTGGTCCAGCGTAAAACGAAGCAGGTAATTGGATAATTTTTACAAGTGTTCTTCTTCAAATTTAAGAGCCGGGCTCTTGTCTGTGGATTAATCGCCACTCAGTGCGGTTCTGCGTCAGTGTCTTGACCTCCTGGTACGTCACGACCTCAGCTTTTTCCTTGATCTGGTCTATTTAAGCTATTCTCGGTCTTCCTCGTCCTCTCCTGCCTTCTATCTTCCCCTCCAAGATGGTCTTAAAGAAGAAGTCGTGTCGCACCAGGTGTTATAATATCTTATTACTTACTTGATCGTAGACTGTGTAGCGTTGTACACGGGTGTGTAGAGATAGGTCCTAAGCGGCGAGGCGTCAAGTATGGAGCCAAAGAGATATTCGACGGCGGCGAGGGCCAGCACCAGAAGGAGTAGCAGGCGCAGCGCGCGCGCCGCCCGGCCTCCGCCACCCGCGCCTCCCATCAACGCATAGGCACCCAACTCGTTACTGAGGCCTATAATAGAATAACTGACTTTAAAAACTCATGAGTTTGATCTGTTTTTATGAGTTAGGCTCCCAAGAATGTGTTTTACAAAGTGTAAATAAAATTTATGCGAAACAAAAATGAAATGGAACGAACGGAACCTATATTTTACGTCAACTAGTATAAGCCGTGAGGGTCACGTAAGTAAGTAAGTAAAGATTTAAGTTAACGCCTAGTAGATAGTACTTGTGACCCCAGAGCTGGTGCTTTCCTCGCTGAACGAATGAGTAATAATATGCCACGTAAATTTTCTATTTATCCATTTTTATTAATATTAGGCTTTCCAAACAATTGTTTCTCTTGAGCCCAAGACTTCCGTGTCAGTCAGGCTTAGTACATATCACAATATATTTCTGTTAATTTCTGTATCTTCAACTATATAGATAGGTAGGTCGTAAGAATTTTTGATTCGCCGTATGAGTAATAATTGCGCATATAGAAAAATCTATTGGTATAGCCAGGATTCGAAATAACGACAAGGACTAACCATTGACACTACCACAAAAGTGGTTTTATACATACCGATATAAATATATACTTAAAAACAAAGAATTCTTTTGTCAAAGAACTATTAGTATACAATCGTGACCACTAAATGAGCAGTAGTTAAAAATGTTTACATTCTCATACGAAAACTCATTTTCCACGCTAATTGCAAGACTAATCGTAAATATTGTGCATTAAGAAAATTCAATTATCGTTTCTCTTGCGAATTTTTATGATATTCATTTACTTTTTATTTAAATTATAATAATGACAGTCCTTTTATTTAATACATTATTTTATTTTATTTACAATAAAGTATACAGTATTTATAATTTTCTTGACCGACAAAGTAATAATAAAAATTATTAAAAAAAATCAAAACAAATTTAAAAAGTTTGGTCCCTGCGGCAGTGTACCTTTAACGCTGGCAGCATTTCCTTGCTGTATTGCGATACTTATTCGTTGATATTTAGTAAGTGAACAGTGTTGGGCTAGTGGCTTCAGCATGCGACTCTCATCCTTGTGGGGGTTCCAGCTGTGCACTAACGGAACTTCCATGTGTGTAACATACGTTCGAATAATGAAGGAAAACATAGTGAGGAAACCCGATGGCCTTTGACCCAAAAAGTCGAGGGAGTGTATCAGGCACAAGAGGTTGATTTGCCTATTAGATTGACAAATGATCGTGAAACGGATATAGACATCTGAGGCCCAGGCCTAAAATTTATTTTATTTCGATCTCTCACTCTGGGATGAGAGACAATTCAATTAAAAAATCATTGACTCATATAGGTAATAAAATGTACACTTATGAACGACAAAAAATTAAATATATATATATATGAAATGCTTCAAATTTTACATTTACTGCCAGTTCTCAAATCAAGGGCGTAGAACGGAAGAAAAGAACTGGCAATAAACTCTCCGCCACTCTTTTTAATCGCCAAGTTTTTTGCACAAGTTTTTTGTTTTACACGATGTCATCTTAAGTAATGAGTAAAAAAAACATTCAAAACAAAGATTTGTCCTTTATCAGCAGGAGGCATGGAGAAATAGGAGCACGCACTTACATTCTCGTGGGAAAAACACGCAAATACATAGTCGAAATACGCACGCTGAAGCCACTATGCCAACACTGCTCGAACAAAATGAAAATCTCTTGCTTCTCTTACAAACTTGACTGGCAATAAATAATAAATACCTAAGTGTCTTTAGAGATAAATAATGTTACAGAAATACAACTCTCCAAATCCCTTTGAGGTACGGGACTTGATACATCAAAGTATTTGGTTTACAATAAGTTTCCCCACATTGGTAGATTTCCCCAAAACCAGTTAACCGTAACAAGCCAAAAGGCGTCGTAAACACAGGTCTTAAGTGAAGGGTCCTTTCCGCCCACTGGTCCATGAAACATGGTTAGTACTCATGAGGCTTTATTGCACATTAACAACACTTTCGGGGTCATTGCTCCTTGGCGTTTCCGGCGTAAAATTGATTAGGGTAACGATTTAGGAACTAACGCTAGAACATGCTATTACATAGAAACCGGTATGTCAAGTATGAAAAGAAATGTTTTATGAACTTACTAGCTATACCCTGCCACGCTTCGCTGTGCACCATGTGATTGAATGGTTGAGAAATGAGAAACAAAACAAAGAAAAAATTAAGTAATGATTATTTTGCAATACCGATTATGGAAAAAAGGAATGAAAAAAAAAATCCTTGATGCGGATTATATTTCATGCTAAAATTTCAGCTCGATCGGTGCAAAACTTTAAAAACAAAAAACACGAAATCGAAGGGACCACTCATATTTGGTCGTGAAAACCGATAGTCGTAACAGGCGATGACGTTGTTATTGAGAACCTAATACAATATAATACAGCCGGGACCTTAGATTTTGGTCAATATAACTGGTATGTTGTTCTAAATGATGTGATTGTAAACGGTTTTGACTAGTGTATATATGCTTAATTATTTTTTTAAATATTAATAACAAAAACAAATTTTCCGTAAATTTTCACTATATATTTTACTAAGCAGCGGTATATCTAATCGGCCCTTTACCGAACCTCCGAACCAATTCGACTCGACTTCGAGGGTCCTTCAACAAAAGAACAACCCAATACTTAAAAGGCCGGCACGCACTCACGAGCCTTCTCGCTTTGAGAGAAAACTTAACATCAGATGACAACATCTTCCCCTATTCCATAAAAAAAACCATAGCTTAGGACTTAGGGACCTTCAATAAAGAGCGTACCAATTCTTAAAAGGCCGGCAACGCACTGGCGAGCCCTCTGGCATTGAGAGTGTCCATGGGCAGCAGTATCACTAAACATCAGGTGAGTCGCCTGTCCCTTGCCCCCTGTTCTATAAAAAAAACTTAAAGTGAAAATGCCGGACACAAAGATTGGAAAATAGCAAAGATGAGAGACAAATGGAAGAATTTGGAGGAGGCGTTCACGTCGTCGGAGGTCATATACTAATATTAAACATAACCTTAATTTAATCGTGATTATGTAGTACTCGAATACAGGTTTTTCTTAAGCTAAGTTCTAGAAACTAAAACACTATCTTTAAAAAAAGAAAGAAAGAAACACCTGGCACGTACTCTCAGTGGTAATTGCATCTCAGGTCCTGTGAGTGCGGATTCATTTTTAATTCATCAAGTTTGTAAATCCCACCAATAACACTGCTAATAAGATTGTTCAGAAACCAGTATGGGAAAAAGCTCTCTAATGTAATGAGTTACCTGGTGTATGTAATGTAAGGACGGTGCTCTATGGAAGTGGCCCATTTTCCTTACGAGTGTGCAAGTTGCTTGTTCATCTGAGCGGAGGTCATCTGAAACAAAATACGCTATTAGGACATTGTTTGCTCACGCGATTGGACGTACCATGATCGTTTGTAAATTTCAGACAATTGCCCCATATAAAAAACATGTGTGTGTACTTATGTACACTTAGTAAGTTATACTTCTTGGGCGTAACAAGATAAAAACAAGATTCTACGTTTTTTCAAAAACCTTGTTTTTTTTTTTTTTTGTAGAACAGTACAAAAAACGACACTAACAATCGAAAAATTAGTAAATAAGTATTAAATACATTGAAAGTTTTATTATTATTAACGCATTATGTAGTTAAAAAAAGTTTATTTAAATATCACAAAAAAATATTTTTACATAATTAAAGAAATGGACATTGTTTTATTTTAAAATTTTGACTATGCTTACTTCAGGGTGTCGGTTTCTTGTGACGGTGTGCGCGCGCATCGTAAAAATTTACTGTAATAATTTTTCCCTAACACGCCAAAAGAAGTATAACTTCAATAATAAGCTCGCAGTGCACCTTGTGGTGGAGTGGTCACCAGATGGGTTACACCAGTACCCTACGCGAAAATGCCTTCTCACCTAACTGCTTTGAGTGACGTCTGATGAGAAGTAGAAGCATTTGATTTCCCTTGATTTATTTATTTTTACATGGCCAATTTCAACAAAAATATTATCAAACTATTAAATAGCCACCTTTACAAAATGTACAGATTTTTTTTATTTATTAACACTTCGTTGCATACAGAAATATAATACAATTGACACAATCAAATGAATAGGAAGGCGGCCTTATCACTTTCGAGTGATGTCTTTCAGGCAACCATTGTAAAAAAAAATACCTACATAAGACATAATTAGACAAAACTAATGGAACAAAACAAAGCAATAAAAACATATCTAAACATGGTAAACATACGTAAATAAACAAATAAAATGAACCATGAATTAATAAGACGCAGAAATATGTCTGACATTTGCATATTACATCTCACACTATATCTAATAGAATATATACAATTCTCGTGTCACAATGTTCGTTCCCATACTACTCCGAAACGGCTCGACGGATTCTTATGAAATTTTTTATGCATATTCAGTTAGACTGAGAATCGGATAACATCTATTTTTCATCCCCCTAAATGTTAAGGGTTGTCCCACCCCTACATTTTTATTTTTTAGACAAAACTTTTTGTTTTTATTTTTTATGATACATCATACAAAAATACAACCATTAATTTTCACCCCTCTACGATCAACCCTTATTTTTTATTTGTAAATAAATATGGTACTAAGTGCAAACCTCGATGGGACTGCGATTATTTTTTATTATTTATTCCTTGAACTCTGAGGATATAAAAAAAATGAAAAACTTAGTTTTATTTTTTTACTTAGGCTTTTATTCCGGAAAAGTCAACGTGAGGCATAGAAAAATGTTCTTTATATTGGTATGTAGCTACTAAAAGGTGGGCTGAGTAAAAAAAACATATAAGGGCAAAACGAAGGTCGCGGGGGCAGCTAGTATACATATATCTTAATATATATAAATTACGTGTCACGTTCTTTGTCCGCTATGGACTCCTAAACTACCGAACCGATATCAATCAAATTTGCACACCGTGTGT